TTCACTAATGTACTCACAGTGCGGATGCATCGTCTAATAATATAATATAAGCAAATGTATCATATTATAGAAACGGCCTTGCAGTATAGTATACTGCAKCGTTRGACCATTTTTTAAACTGCAGTTGTACCTACTATACAATACTAAAAGTGTTAAGAGTTTAGAGCTCCGAGACGCTGGCGTACTTTTTAAATCTGTCATATTTACATTGATAATAATGTTTACCACCATTATATAAATGCCATTTTAGGTTAAGTTAAATTAAAATAATAAAACTAATAAACCCAATATTTATGTAGAAACAATTGGAAGAAATTTACGGAATTATTAGTAACGAGAAAAGTTCAAGACACGACGAATAATCTGCAAGTTAYATGCATTCATGGACAAATATACACGTATAAAAATGCCCACAAATAAAAAGATTTTTTTCTGTTGATTGAATATTTTAAATAAAGTTAAATAACTCATAATTATAAAATCTCGAAAACATAACAATAATATCTTRGCATTTCTARGCATTAAGAATTGGACTAGGCTCCTGCTTATGTAGTTAAATAAATGTAAATGATATAGTACGTGTAAATTTCAAACTACAAAAGTATATACAAATTATACTAGGTAATAAAAAAATTAAAAAARCACATGAAATACTCGTATATTATAAATGGTTTTCATTCTAAATATTTGTGTAAATATATAAAAATTAAAAAATTAAAAAATATATAAAAATAATATTATTGCTTGTTTAATATTAGTAAAAAATTATTTTGATTTCTAAAAATAAGGGTATAATCAATCAGATATTAATAAATATATATAATGAAAATAAACGAATGTATTCTATTGCTCTGGTGCGTGCGTTATGTTTAACGGTAGTTTATAATTTTTCAAAAAAAATTTTTATTGTGCAAAATAATCATAGAATTAATCACAAAGCACTATATGAAATATAATTTTAATACACTTTACAAAAATTTAAATTTTTTTCTTCAGTTTACAACGATTTTATTCAGAACTTTTTTTAATATAAAACTCTTCTTTTGTATGAGGTAGCAAAAGCCATGGGAGTTGAATAGGAATTTCTTTGATTTCATTTCGATCAGATTTACAGGTTGTAATTAAACTTGTTTCCTCTTCAGAATTATCATGATCAATTATGTCAAGAGTATTCAAATTTTTCGGGCATAGGATTTGCGAAGTGTTAATAGTTGTTTGCTCCGAATATAATGAAGGTGAACTTTTGACTAGTATTTCATTTAAATTTGGATTTTCACACGTTTCAGAATCGTTGTTATTTAATATGTTATCAATTTTGATTGAACCGCCAAAATTCCGATGATCAATATTTATAACATTATTAGTATTATTATTATAGTTTTTATCACTATTCTTGTCGTCGTTGTAATCAAAATTCGTCTTTAAACGTTTTCCGCTTTCAACTGGATTTAATTTGSCATTTATGTCATTCATCTCTGTAGAAACTATTTCATTTACTCGTTCGCCTTTATTGTCGACGAAGTGTTCACATTTTTTGTTCAATCGTTCTGTAGGTTCGTCACCGTCAAAATTCGTT